ATCAGTGACCCTACGACGGACAAAACAACCGCACTCACTCGAAGCCCAAGCTGCCACGCCAAACGAGTCTTACCTGTTCCGCTAGCTTGAACGAACGGTATCATGCGACCGTAATATATACTTTTGTCGTATATTCCCGCGTAAACACCCAAGGACTTCTCAAACAATTCATCGAAGCGTCCGCGGAACGTTTCATGGAAGGCCCTGTCCAGCCGCTTTTGCTGCTCGGCTCTATAGAATGACCACAATCGTAACGTAAGTGTCGGGCCAACAATGAGGGATGGAGTTGACATACATTGTCTCAATCGCGGCAGGCGGCCGTTCGAGTGCTACGATGATGTCGATCAACATTCAATACTAGCAACATGGTAAATGGACAGACATACCGCAGGCAAATTGCAAAAATTTTGCGATATCCTTCCCGGCCATCAAACTGTCCAGTTGATCATCTGGCAGGGGCTGGAGTCTCTGCCAAGGTTCATCCTCGCCACCGTCCTTGAAGAGAGCTGTCCGCAATTTAAGAGGAATACGATCGCGCGGGAGGTCTGAACTTTCAACGCGACGGAAAGCAGCCTCAAGAAATTTCGTGCCACTTCCAACCTCGTGGTCCAGCTCAGTAAAATCCTCAAGATAGGTGTTCCACCGCGCTTGAATCCTAGCCAGCAACTGGTCTACTGGGTCTTGGGAGGGTGTGGCACCTAAGTTGAGTTGCGAGAACAAGGAAGCCAAATCGTCAACCGGTGACGAATCTTGGGTGTTCGACATGTGGATGGAGATTCTGAATGCGATGTGGAGAGGAGAGAAGAGAAAGATGAGTGTGCTGTCTGCCTACTGCCCACTGAAGAGTCGCATTTATATATGTACGACAATGTGCCACACCCTGGGAATTTCGCGAGTGGCGTCCGTTGTTCGTGCCGAGCTGTTGATCTTTCGGCACGAGTGGTACAAAACCCCTTGACACTGCGTTCCTGCCGAACTATTGTTCTCTCGGCATGAGTGGCACGGAACCCCCGGACACTTCTAATTTGCCATCTGATCGCCCCGCGGCGGGGCAGGGGCGCGTGCGTGCAGGATCTGCCTAATTCGTGCATTGACGCTCACTTCGCGCTTGGCGAGATCTGTCCTGAGAACAACGCTCGGCCCCTCGAGGTCGTGTGGACATGGGTTAACGGATCCGATATACTCTTGGGGGAAGCCAAGAGCCTCGCACAGAGCCAGTTTGGACCGAAAGACCCGTACAGACCCTTGCGATCGGACGCACAAGCGCGACTCTATCGGTGAATTCTATTCGGCTCAATTCTCTCTTCTTCAGTGCATAACACAACACTTCGCAGCGATCATGACGAACTCAGGTTCTCTATGCGCTCGGTCTTGGCCAACTTTAGGCAATACGCAGGCCGATTCCATCTCATCACGGCCGACTTCCCGATGCCTCAATGGCTCGCCGAGAGAAGCAATATATCTGATCCAAAGTCATGGCGATTAGGACAGATGCCACAATGGCTAGATACAAACAATCGACTCGCGCACAACATGTGGCAGGACGGAAACACACAACTTTCTATCACACACCATGCACAAATCTTCCGCCCCTATACAGGGACTAACTTCAACAGGTAGTAATTAGATCACACTTCATATGCATGCGTGTTGACTTTGCGCTCCAGTCTCGCTATCGAGTCACAACTCGGCCATATGGAAAACGTTTCAGATTATTTGTGAGTTAACGCGCTCTGACCCTCCCGGATACAAGTTTCTCATTAGCTGCTCGCAGTATTTATATGGTTAGCACGTTTGGTTTAGCCTGTGTACTGATCAGCGGTTAGGATTGATCTTCACACCATGCAGAATGACGACCTTTTCATGATCAACCCATTGTCGCCCATTAGCTTCTACACGCCAGGTGCTCCGTCCATTATACCCCTCGCTGTTTTCTTAATTTATAATACCCATAGCGTATGGAGTTGTCCTGCACATGCAGCCGGATCTTCTCGTCAATCCCGACAGACTACGTGGGAACAACCAAGGAGAATGGCGTAGCCTCGGCGAGAGCAACTTTCTTCTAAGTGCGTGCGGACCTCTATCACTCTCACATCTCGCCTTTCAATCTTCTTCTCTGCATAGGCAAGCGGTTCGGTCGCCGATACCGTCCATATGTCGCCCACGAAGCCAAGGTCGCCTCTCGCGCTCTCCTACACGAGATGGCCACCTGGCCCCAGTCGTTCGCGGCCTCCGCGGCGCATCCCTTCCGAGAGACAGCAGACGGCGACGGAGACGTGAATGCGTTCTTTATGCATGCGCACTTTATTGTCGAGCGTGCACGAGAAGCGCTCCTGTGGAGCTGGGTCGTCGGACGGGTCGGCGCCCTCAATGGGACCTGGGGCGAAGCGGAGGCTCGGCGCGCTTGGGAGGAAATCGGTGGCGCCTGGGGGGAGAGCGATTTGCTCGTGGAGACTAGCCATCGGGATACGCTCACAAGGGAAAGGGTCGAGAGGGTCCTGTTACAGATATCCGCTGCCGAGCTTGACCTCGTATTCATTCTGTATGTGTGTATCTGCTTGGTTGAAGGCTTCCCCCCCTACTGACAAGATCATATAGCATCTCTCGACGGTTACGCGTACGCTGGTCTGGGTGCCTATGGCCGGCCAGAATGGGTGTCATTTGCCCCGGAGATCAATGAGGGCCACCTGCCCAGGTGCAGGATATCCTATGAGAAGTGTTTCGCGATGGAACATCCGGAGTCTGAAGGTCAACAGCGACGTGCAAGCGAAATCTTTACGGATATCGCATTCCGGAATGAGGCTTGTGGAGATTGCGGTACGCATCCTTCATGTCGCTCATTCGAACAGACAAACTGAAGGTTACTCAGTGGTTCTGGCGCTTACAAAAGCAAGCGGCAGCCATGGCTTGTCGGCTTTCCTTCCTGCTTCCGATCGTGTTCTTCCACCAGTGGACAATGAGGATGGCGAGCGAGAGGTGCCCCATCTCCCCCTAGTCGCAAACTGGGAAGACGGCGACTTCTCCCTATTTGCTGTCATGGGCATGAAGCGAGAGCTGAATGTAAGACAGTGGGTGCTGCAGCTCCTACAACGCTACCGCTATGTGATAGGTACGTGCCAGCACTCAGATGTCACAGTTACTTTGTTTAATGTGGGGTGATCCAGGTGATACACCGTCACTCTTCGAACGCGTCTCGAGCCCCCAAGGAGCGGTGCAAGTCGTTGCACATATCGAGCGAACACCCCATGTGGCTCTGCTTTGCATCAATGACGATGCCATGAAGGAGAGCCTGACTTCCCAGGTGAAACAGGTGTTGAAAATATGGTTCAATAGATGCTGGAAGAAGCCTGCCACTTGGGAACAGCGGTGACAGGGTCGAGCATTCCTCGCATTCGGGTTGATGTAAGTTCCGGGTTGCTTTCAATCAACGTTGTCATCTGGGTAGATCGTTGTCTATATAATGTTTTATTATCGTAGCCTTGTGCTATGTTCCATGTGATTCGTAGTTCCTGTGATTCGTAGTTCCTGTGATTCGTAGTTCCTGCTGATGTTACATAGGCACAGATTTCTATAACAAATGTCAAGCTACATGCATCCAATGATCCAATGCAATTCCTTAAACCTGTTTCGGTGGATGGGTCAAGGATTTCGACTCGAACTAATTTCGCATGTCTTTCACTTGCTAAGCGGCCCAGATGACAGTGTCATGCTCTGAAAACAGGCATCATCTATCATGTATTGCCAACTGTCGTGGTGCTGGTGTCATATTTTTCAACTCCATCTAATATTATGCCTAGACGGATAATCGCGCTTTTGTTGTTCTATATGCTTTGTTTCTCACTCAAAACCATGCTATGCCCACTCAGTGACTCATTCGGTTCCCTGCTCTCGTTGTCGTCGAACCATCCTATTTATACAATCTATCCTCAGGTCTACACAAAAGGCTCATCTTTTGGGTATATTGATACATCACAAACGTACGGAATGCTAGTTACCAAGAAACGATGCGACATGCTATATGGAAAAATATTCCTCCCCGGAGTGGGTATGTATCATGAACTTTGAAGTCCTTGAATATACCAATAGTTCGACGATAGAAGCCAGAAATCTGTTACGGTTTCAGTGCTTCATGGTCATGTGACAGTTTACATTGCACGTGACACTTACTATTTATGGTTCATAGGTCTGGTGGACATATTCTAGGGTTAGCAGTTTTTCGTTTTCATGATCAGACTCACTCTGGTATTTGCAATCCAGACTTCGTCTTGCATTTCAGGTTTTCTATTTCACCTATGCTTTTCTTAGCTCGCCAATTACATGGCTCACAGCAGTTAAGCTTTGATGTGTTTCATCTATCTTTAGGATAGCGGGACCCCCTGTACTAGTACCCCAGACTATAGGTCTGTGACTATATAAAGGGCACAGATCACGGAGAGAAGACCAACCTCTTCCTCCTTGTTTCTAAGACCTGTTCTTTCACTAGAACCCTTCTTGACAAGAAGCTTCTCGATACTTCTGATCTGAATGGATCAGTTGGGATCTGCACTCGCTCTCAAGGGGTATACAAGCTCGTGCTCTTGTCTAGAGATCAGAGGATGAACCTAGTAACCTGCGCGTGAATGTGCAGTAGCCTCTCAGCGACCTAGCAAGAGTAGAGTGACCAAACCTCACTGCTACACACCACAAGGGCTAAGACCCTACTATAACATTCAACAAGGAGCTAGCACATGCTGTAAGGGCATGTGGTTAGGAAGGTTCTCGAGGAAATGCTTCATAACATTAGGAAGAGGTTTTACTTAGGTCAACCTATTCAGGTCTTGAACCACTTACAAGAAGTGGGGTCTTTACACTGAAGGAGGCTTGATAGGAAGAAGACGCTCGACTGGGTGAACTCTCCAGTATACTAAGAAGAGACCTCGGCACGATGGAAAAAGTCCTCAACAGGGGTATCCAATTCCAGGGAACTCAGTGCAACGCCGCTGGCTGACCACCACTTAAGAAAAACAGGGAGAACACCACTCTAAAGTATCTGCAGCATCAGTGCTTCACCTAGGCAGGAGTATCTATCAGAGGAGCAAAACCTGGATTTTTGTCACTGATAAACTATCTGCTGAGGCAGTGTCGACTTGAGCCCCATCCTCACCAGAGGCGCTGGGTATACAGAAGACACTGGTTAAGGGCCACTGAAAGAAGGCACCCAAACCTTGCTGAGTCTGGTCTTCAATTGAGAAGTTGCAGATAAGGAGGACGATTGGTTATTGGCGACAAGCAGAGGAAATCAACAGCCACCCAAACCTTGCTGAGTTCAACATGGATAAGGAGGACGATTGGTTACAGGCCACCAAGCAGAGGAAATCAACAGGCTAGGAAACACCAAGTGCTCAAACGGGAGTAGGCAGAATTCTGAAGTGACTAGCTGGGCACTCAAAATAGCGAGCAGCAGAACGTCGTACCTGGCTTAACAGGTCTTGGACACGCAGTTAGGAGCCACCCAAAACAAAAGGCCAAGGTTTTTACAGGTTTTATCATATCGGACATCAAAACAAGGAAGAACTTGGTAGGGTACACTGTGTGGTACTGGAGAATCCAAAGCCAAGTTCCAATTGTGCTGACAGTTGGGTCAAGAAAGAATTTGGTAGGGTACACTGCGTGGTACTGGAGAATTTCAAGCCAAATTCCAATTGTGCTGACAAGAGAAGCCCTCATCTGAGGCACATGTTGAAGACGTGCTAAAGCCCTTCCCAGCAAAGGCAAACCAGGAATCCAGGACAAGATAGGATTTCAAGACATGGGAACCCAGGGACATGAGGAACCCAGAGGACGTGTCAGATCGTGATATGTCAGAACAAGGATTGGTCACTTCAGAAAAAGGAGCACCACAATTTATGGTCAAAGACATGACCACAGAGGAGTTAAAAGACCTCTACGAGAAAAAGTCGACAGAAGCAGTTCATCTTCGACTTCAATTTAGGCTAGGATGAGCCTACGAACCAACAGATTGTCTAAGGCTTAACCAGCTCGAAGGCGAAGTAGAAGGACTATGTCGAATCCTTCAAAGCAGGGGAGACTTTGACGAAGAAACTCTCAGGCAATTCAACAAAACAACAGAGCTTCCATCTGGAGAAGCTATTCAAATTGACCGAGAAGAAGGTCATTCGGAGGAAGCCAGTGAATTACAGCCAATTAACCCATTTGGCGCTAGACCTACAGCAGTTCCAATTGTGAGATCAGTCTCAGACAGCACTGTTAGACCAGATTCTCCAGGAATCACACCAGTTAGGTGAGACCAACTGCCACATCTTCCTCAAACATCAACCAGAGGAACAATGGTGACTGTTGCATGATATAACCTGGCACTTGGGCCACCAACCCATCCCAGAACATGCACAGATGCAGTCTGGGCTGAGTACCAACAAGCCCTGGCAATCTATGCACAATACCAGGGAGCAATCCCTAAGCCCCCAGCTGTGAAAGAAAAGAAGATGGGAAAAATCAAGGAATTTAGGAGAGACAAGCGAGAATTTGCCTCATTCATATGACATGTGGAACGATATCTCCAGGCAAATGCAGGAGTCTACAATGATGACTTCAGCAAGATCGTCTTCATCCTCTCCCAGATTGACCCATCATCTACAGCAGGAAAATGGGCAGAATCATGGAAAGCAGCCCAGATGGCACAAGAAACAAACAATCTTGGAACTTATCAAGACTTCAAGATGACGCTCGAAGAAAAGTACGGAGGCGTCGCAACCAAAGACCAAGCCTGGCAGGTCCTTCTTGTAGGAAAGTACAAGCAGGACAAGCAGACAGTCGACGAGTTTATCGGATCATTCGACATTCTCTACCGATATCCCGAAATCACTGACGACTACCAAAAGCTCATCCACTTCAAAAGAGGACTTAATGAGAAACTTGCAGAAAAGGTCTTCATTGTCGCTCAACTGCCAGCAACATATAAAGATGCATGCGAGTGGATATTGACAGAATCACAGAAGAAACCCATAAGGAACATTCTTTGGGTGGATTCTGCTATAACTGTGGAGGAACAGGACATCAGGCAAACAAGTGTCAAAGAGTGGGATATAATTTGCGCCAGAAACCTGGAGGAAAGGCAACTTCATATGCCAATGCCAAGACGTCCTATTCCAGGCAAAAGAAGTACTCCAAATCAAGCAGATCAGGAAAGACTTCCAAGTCATCTAAATCTTACTCCAAGAGAAAGGAGAAGAGGCACTGAAAGGTAGCAAAAGTTCAAGAAGACGATACAAGCTCAGAAGAAGAGTATGAGCAATCATCTTCAGAAGAATCCGAGGAAGACGAAACTTCTCAAAGTGAAAGCGAGACCTCTGAAGAAGAATCAGAGCAGGAAGAAATTGTTAATAGAATACGACGAACTCGTTCGGCAAAGTGTAAAATGGCTTGATGAGCCACCAGGGATTCAGATGATTTGGATGAAGAAACACCCATTTGATGATCAATCCATGATAAGGAACTTGCAAGAATATGATGACTAAATGCTAAAGCTTGCAAAGAAGAAAAGCAAGATCATAAAATATGACGTCTGGAAGCTGAGATTCAAAGCAACAAAATAATGATAGAACGGCTCGAAAACATAAACAAGTTTGCGCATGACCCGGACATAAAGGAATATATATGTCAGTTTCCATGACCTGACCACCAGAAGGATGTGACGGGTTTTGGAGATGGGTCCACACGGGTACAACGTGATACCCGAAAACTGAAGGCATACCAAAGAAAGTTACCATTAGAGGCAATATCAAACGAGGAAGTGAAATATACCTCAATATTGTCCTCCAAGATTACGATGGTTGTCAAACACAAAATGTACCACCAAGAGCCCTAGTCGATTCAGGAGCCAAAGGAATGTTCATCAATGAATCATTCGCAAAGGAAAAAGGACTACACCTTCTAAAGGCTAAGAAGGAGGTCAAGATTCGTAGTGTCAATGGAAGCCTCATCAATGCCACCAATGAACGATTCAGAGTAACTGCTTGTGCAGGAAAGTATGAATGGGATGATGACTTCCTGGTTGTTGACTTAGGAAAAGAAGATGTGATTATTGGCAATACATGGCTCCATGATCACAACCCTGTTATCAATTGGCAGACAGGCGAAGTCAAGGTATGACAATACATTGAAGAAGTACTAGACGAAAAGCCACAGCCAGTTAAACATCCAACTGCTGTAGATTTTTCAATATCCAAGGAAGAGTGAAGACAAGCAAAAAGGGAACTCCGAGCCATTCTTGACGAAGAAGTTGACCCTACCCTGGATGAAGCAAAAACTGTTGACTCAGACCTCTTGCTTGCATACTTGGCAGGAGTGCCTTATCTGGAAGATCAAGAAATTGGAGAAAAAAAAGCTATCTTTGCCTATCAACCAGACACGGGATTGCTCCAGGAAGTCACATTCAAGGAAAAGGAATATAAGACTACTGGAGAAAGGAAGATGCAGTATCTTGCACTGCAATGAATGAATGTCAAAAAGGACCCTCACCAGACACAAAAAGAAGGTGATACTTTTTGGAAGACATCAAACAAGGCACAAGAACTAGTGCAGAAGAAGGCAC